GAGTACTTAGGAGGTAGTATTATCATGATTTCAACGTCACGAAATTATTACGTATGGAAATTACGAAAGTCTATTCAAGGGACAAGGCCAACGTAAACATTTGTAATAACCACAAGCCGAGCTTATTATTTCGGACAATTCCTTTTCTCATGAAAATATTTGAAAGCTGTTTTGGAAATCGTAAGAAATTAATTAAAAAAAGTAAACATTAAAAATTATATATATATATATATATATATATATATATATGTGTGTGTGTGTGTGTGTGTGTGTGTGTGTGTTTGTGGGCGTGTGTGGGCGTGTGTGTGCGTGTGCACGTTCGTGCGCGTGTGTATGTGGGTATGTGTCAGTTACTGCCGCCATGTGGTGTCGTCAATTTTCCGAAGAGCCAAACAGCTCAGAAAAACACTGGCGACCACCTGATTCCAAAGTGTCTGTGGACGAAAATATTCGTTGCAACCTTGATCCACCCCTTCGAAAGTTTCGACTATTTTTGCTCCGTCCAAACTTTCATTTAGCATCCAACAAGAATAAATGAAGGCGAGGCGGGTCGTAAAACGCAAGTCTTCACGTATTTAATGTAACAGATGCTCAGAAAACAGCCCCGCCGTGCCTCAACATAAACACGAGAAGAGTTTTTGGAACACTGAAGCATTCGCACACGTAAACAAAATCGTGCAGGGATTTCATGTCTTAAGGAAAAGTGCCGAATCGCACCACGCAAATAATGCTGGAACAAGGGTGAAACGTGGCGTCGCGTCGGCGGGGGAGTGAGGAGTGAGGAAGCCCGAATTCGATGCTGGCGCCCGTCGATACGTCGATTGTTTAGCGACCCCGGGCGCGTTAACTGCGAAAGCCATTAGTCCTGTAGGGGCTTTGGGTGTTTTAATCGCTGAAGGTAGGGGTGATGTACCCCCGCTGGATGGCGTGATCCGGCGCCGACCATCGGGTTGCGGGATTTTCCCCAACAAGGTATCTCCCATCAGCTAGCATTGCCTCAGCCGAAAAAAAACTCTAAGCACTCGACTGGTCTCCCGGCAAGTTTGGTAGTGTAGTGCAAGTAAGTGTGTGTGTGTGTGTGTGTGTGTAAGGGGTAAGGAAAGGGCAAAAAAGAGGAAGGAAGGATCGCACGCTGCTCGTGGCCCGTTTGTTAGGGAACTGCTCCGGCATTCACCTGGTGTTGATCGGAGAATCTGCCGTTCAGAACAGCCGGCCGCTAGAATTCCCGTCCAGACAGCGCCTGCATTCACCTACCCGTCGAAATATCCCGACGACTCTGGGATAAAACGATTTTTCACTTATTTCCGCCCGCAGAGTGAAGGGGCGTCTGACTGCATCGCGAGGTCAGGTTTTCCTTAGCCGTTTACCTACCTTCAGGAAAAGGCATAGCCCGATTATTACGTTTTCCTCCTCAATGTAAGGATTGATTTATACTTCTACCGTGCTCTGCTTAGTATTAAATTGATCTATTATAATTGACCCACTTCTATTTTTTTTTCAAGAAACATCGGCACGTCCTTTTAGTGCACTACCAACAAAAAAGTAAACAACTACCACATAAAAGTAAAAAAAAAACTTAAAGCCTCATATCACGAGTAATTTCGAATCCTTTTTTAACACTCCTGACATAATTTCGAAGATTCTGTCATGTTCATCTATGCTTAAGATTTCCTCTGGACTGATGCGAGAGAATCTGTTAGCCCTACTTATGAATGGAAATTTAACAAAAATGTTAGTACCTTCCGAAACAGCATGTACGAAAGTGGATGCAGTCTGGCTATGCCTTCTTAGGTCACGAAAAGTGAAAGGGTGGGGAGCGGGAGTGAGGAGAAACTGACCGCGTGATGCAGTCGGGCGATTACCGAGGAAAGACAGCCTGGAGGGAGCATTATTTGTTGGTAGTATAATCAATTCTCAATTCCAAGACCTCCTCTTGTGCTAATATTTGAGTTAAACTTTTTTATAGAATGAATGAAAAAAAAACATCTTGGACAACAAATCTTGTTTACTTTTCCATATTCTAATTTCAGTATACGTCTCAACACGAGTTAGATGATTCAAGTGAATGTAAACTCCATATTCAAGAATTTTTTCAGGAATTATTATATAAAAATAAGTCAAATAATTTCTTTGAAATTCTTCTCGAAATTGCTTCGAATTTCGAGAAAAAATATTCGTTCTCGTATGCACAGCAGAAGGAGAAGGCACAATTGTCAGGACAGATAACAATAAAGTAATAGTTTTTATCATGATGAGTGAAGCTATTCGATCCAACGTATACAAATGTTTTATTTATCATACACCTTTTTCTACACCCTTTAGCTAGCATAAAGCCACGATCGTAGTATCGAAATAGTCAATGTACATGCAAAAACGATCAAATCTGTGACAAATCGAAATAAAGTAGATTAGTTCAAGAGATTTTTTTCTGCTGGATCAGATCTATATTGGATTTGTTCTTCAGTCTTCAATATGTCAAGAAGTCTTTAACCCTTTAATCCATTTGTGCAATCACGTCCCTCTTACAACATAAACGTAAACACCGGGTATCACAGCCGACCGTATCTAATGCTATATCATCATACCATGTTCCTGATAGTATGCTTCAGTCGACACGCGTTATCGAAATCGCACTCTTATTGATGAACTGAAATGTGAGTAAACGGCGAACCGATAAGATATGTGCTCCTTGTTTACATAATGTTGTTACTTCCACTCAGCACTTGTTTGCACGATTGTTTCTGACCAACCCTTCCGAAATGATGTGTCATGCGAAACACTTGGGAGTAAATTAAGCACATTGAGTGAGCTTACGAATGTTAATAAGTAATATTAAGACGTAAGTAATTAGGCGCAAAGATGACTGTCAGTATATCAAAATTTGGCCATAATAAATGCACACAATCTCCCATTGCTAAACAGAACTCCATATCAACAGCATGTAATGATAATGCGAGTTATGGAAATGCAGACTAAAATTGCAATACATTTACAACGGACAAAACGTGTTCAGGAACAGGTTTTCCTTTACGACAGATCCTAAGTAATTTGGACTAGTCAGATATGCAACCAACTCATTTTTAATTTAGAAAAACGAAAAGGGAGAGATTAGGAACTGTATGTCTCGGCCAAATTTTAAGATGATGAATCGATTCTACAAATGAAGCGCGTTGTAAAGAACCGAAAAACGGAACGTCATTTGTTTGATTATTTGGTGTTTTAGGGCGCAGAAACGACAATTATCGTTAGTCCCTCAAGAGTTCTGCATGCTATATTGTGCGAGATGATCCTCCCTTCTAGAACGTGAGATTCGGCGCCAACCTACGTGTCAGCTATCCCCCTTCAGCTACAGGTTTCTTCCCCAGGGGGAACCGCTCCTACCGGGACGAGCTTCAAGCTTCCGACTGGTTCCCGACTTGTGCTTGTGTAGAGCATATGTGTGTGAGAGAGTGTGCGTGCGTGAGTGTGCGTGTGTGTGTGTGTGTGAGAGAGAGAGAGAGAGAGAGAGAGAGAGAGAGTGATGATAAGGGAACGAGGATGATTACGCGCAGACCGTGATCTGCGCGTCAAAACAGTTAACGAGCTGCTACAGCATTCACCTACTATTGATAGCGAAACCCGTGAAAAACTACCGATCAGTGTAGTCAACCGCTAGAATACTCCCGCGAAGAATAGTTAAATTCGACACAACTATAAGCTAGAGTCAAAACCCCGCCCCCGACGGAACTGGAATGGGAGTCGAAGGTACTGGGATATTGAAACTATGTGGAGCATGTGTGTGTTTGGGGAAGAACAATGGGGAAATGGGGTGGGAACAATAAGTGAATGCATGTCTACATTCCCGTAGGTCTACAAAGTTGTCATTACATAAATGTTGGTTGCCAGTGTTGCGTAATGCTTCCGAAGTATGCGTGTCTGTAAATGATATGTTGTCTGTGAACGAATATTTTCAGTGCATACATTAAAATGAAGCTGTGAATATATGTTGCGTAACTTGCTTGGGATT